TATTTTTAGTAGAGACAGGGTTTCACCATGTTGGTCAGGCTGGTCTCGAACTCCTGACCTCAGGTTATCCACCCACCTCGGCTTTCCAAAGTGCTGGGATTACAGGCGTGAGCCACCGTGCCTGGCCCCATTTTGCTTTATTTTAAAAGATGTGGGCCTGACCAGTAGGCAATGAATTTGCCATTGGGTCAGCATCATCCTATGCATGAGGAGGGGGTCTAAAATCTTGAGGATTTTGATGAGTTACAGCTTTGTCTAGAGTCAGACTGGCTTTTGGATATACAAAAAGTTGATTTTGCTCGAGAACGTGGACTTAAGGCTTCATATAAAGATTTCCTACAGCAGGAGAAGACACAGACACAATTTAGGATCCAAGGTGCCGCTATGAAATAGGCTTACAACTCTTATCCTTTGGGCTTTAAAAGAGAAAAATACAAGAACGCTCCAAAATACTGATGCTGAAAATATAGATGACTGTGAAACAGCAGAGTACAGCATCAAAAAAAGCAAACTATATAAATTTTTTAAAGTATTAAAGAAAAAGGGTGGCCAGGCGTAGTAGCTCAAACCAGTAGTCCCATCACTTTGGGAGACTGAGGTGGGCAGATCACCTGAGATTGGGAGTTCAAGACCAGACTGGCCAACATGGCAAAACCGTGTCTCTACTGAAAATACAAAAATTAGCCGAGCGTGGTGTCACACGCCTGTAATTTCAGCTACTCGGGAGGCCGAGGCAGGAGAATCACATGAACCCAGGAGGCAGAGGTTACAGTGAGCTGAGATTGAGCCACTGCATTCCAGCCTGGGCAACAGAATGAGACTATCTCAAAAAAAAAAAAAAAAAAGAAAAAAGAAAAAAAAGAAAAAAAAAAAAAAAAAAGAAAAAAAGGGTGACACTTTTTTGTGTGAACATTAGATATAAAAGTGGAAAAAGAAACTGAAGAGTAGATAAAAGCATAAATTAATCCAATGATATGGAATTTTCCTATGAGCAATGAACCCACAAAGTGAGAGCTCTGAGGATAAAAGGTGATGATCCTGGGAGGAACTATTATTACATAGTAGTACAAGTTACACTTTTGGAAATGTCCAAATAGAAATGCAGGTATTAAGATGTAGAAAAGGAACACTGGGTAGCTGAAATGTGATGCACTGGCAAGGACAAACACTGCAAAAGACCAGCTAATCACGTTGTTAACAGCCGTAGAGATCAAGGGTACATCTTGTAATGAACCTATTCTGGAGTTATGGAAATGACCGCCAGCTGTTCCCGACTGAAGACGACTTGAGGCACAATGACCCAGAAAGTCCATATGGTTCCAAAGGCAAAAGCTTAATTAGATATATCACTTCTAACTGCATAAATCCACACTCCCAGAAGAAAGGAGATTAACTGTAAGGCATATGTCAGGAGGGTGACTTTCAAACATGCAACAGCTCCAGAGAATGAAACTTGCTACTATTTGACTGTGGCTGTCTTTGTATGGGAGACTTTCAGGGGATGGTTATTTGTGTCTCTTTCAATGCTGGGTGCATATAACTTCTATAATGAAAAATATTTTGAGGCCGGGTGAGGTGGCTCACACCTGTAATCCCAACATGTTGGGAGGCTGAGGGAGCAGGATTGCTTGAGCCCAGGGGTTTGAGACCAGTCAGCCTGGGCAACATAGTGAGACCTATCTCTACAAAAAATAATTAAAAATTAGCTAGGAATGGGAGCATGTGCCTATATTCCCAGCCGCTTGGGAGGCTGAAGTGGGAGGATCACTTTTGCCAAGGAGGTCAGGCTGCAGTGAGCCATGATTGCGCCACTGCCCTCTATCAAGCCTGGGTGACAGTGAGACCTTGTCTCAAAAAAAAAAAAAAAATTGTGTGTGAAAGTATGTACTATCAGAGATACAAGGAATGAAAGTAATCCGGCTCTTTCTATGCTTCTATGAACTACTCTAAAGATAACTGATAGTCACATCCTGTATTATAAAATAGTCAAGGCATTGCCAAAAGTCATTGAAGAGATTTTTGTTTTTAACTGTTATTTAAACCTGGAAACAGGTCTCAAAGTGACTATGCAATGTAAAAGCTCCATCTGAATATTAGCAAAGGACTTTTTATATCTTATTATATTTAAAAGGGAATGAGACCACACAAAATTATGTGTGGGTGTTATGCGACCCTCTCTTTATGTACTTCCTGTCATTGCTGTGTTCCTACTGATAGAAGCTTCGCCTTTTCATTGAGGTGTGACCTGAACCTGTAGTGGGGTGATTGGCTCTAACATGGCAAGACTGGTGACAGTGGGAACAGGGGCCCCTTATGGAGTATAATTATGCTTCCTGGTAATTTTCTACTGTGCTACTATTACTGTAAGAAGTCCTCTAGGAAGATCAGGAATCCCCTACCAGGTGTCTGTGTTGACACACTCATTTCTCCTTTGTAAATTTGCCCGCCACGCATTTTACATTCACATCATAGCAATAGGTGATCTGTTAATTTATATCAAGATACTACAATGGAGGTACAATTAATCACTAACTTTCATTCTGAAACCCCTATTCTATGTGTTTTCTAGCATTTGGCTCTTGAAGATTATATTAGTGCAGAGTGCCAGGTGGGGAGGGAGGAAGATTTTTTGAGATGGGGGGGCGGGGTCTCTCTATGTTGCCCAGGCTGGTCTCGAACTCATGGGCTCAAGCAGTCTTCCCACTTCGGCCTCCCAAAGTGCTAGGGTTACAGTCATGAGCCATTGCACCCAGCCGTGGTTCTTAAGTATTCTTAAGAACACTTTTTTTTTCATTTTTATTTGTACAAAATATTCTCCCACCACCCTCAAACAAATGCAGTTTAGACTACAGTGATAGCATTTTGTTTATGTCAAGAAAACAAAGTGTGTATTTCTTCCTAAGTAAACTTTGAAAATGTAATTTCATTAGTACAGGAAATTAATAACTTTAGTGTCTTTCCTTCTTCAGCCGCACTCCCCTCGTCTACAAGCAGAGTTGGGACTCAATTATTCTGTGAATTTTAACTCCAACTAATACATTAACCAAGCTTTGAAATTTCTTTGTAAGTATGGTTATAACAATTCACATTGCTGTTTATGCTAGTGGCTTTATTTCAAATGGTAGTTTCTCAGTTGGAGAAGCAGTTCGAAGTCATTTTGAGCTCCGTTAAACTCATTGCTTTATAGAGCTGTGATTACTTTCGTGTCCTAATTAAATGGCCACGTCTCTCTCTCGCATCTTGTTTGGAAAGTCACAAGCAATAAAGAACTGTGTTATGTCATGACTGATGAGCATTATTTGATTTTTGCTGTGCAATACTGCATATGATATTTACTACCTGTGAACCTGCTTTCGGCATAGGACACAGTTTCTGGAGCAGGTAATGGAAAGGGATTATTAAAGGAAACGATCTCATGCTTTGTTTTTGAGAGAAGGTTTCATCTGAAACAGAAACAGACACACATACCAGGAGCCCGGTTACTATAGAACCGAAGAGACCTTTCCAGCTGTTTACACTTCGGATGTAAAATGGCAATTTGACATAGACTAACAGTGTGATGTGAGCATCTGCGTAAAAAGGCGACATATGGAGCATGCCCAGTGTGGGAGTGCGTCCTCCTCCCTCCGCCTCCCCCCTTCCCCTCGAGATCTCCAAAGATAAGGCTTGAACTTTGCACTTGCAAATGTCACTGCATACGTTTTTGCACTAGTTTTTTTTTTTTTTTTCCCCCTGCGATTCTTTTACAACTAATTTCCTTTAACAATTTGAGCGCAGGGAAGAGAATGTTTAGGGTTATAAGATGCATTAAGTTTAGAACGAGTTGATGCCCGGCTTCTGAATGCACTTGAAGTCTTCTTTATTTTTAAAGCAATATAAAGCACTCGAGTGTGTGTTTTCAGTCCCTCCTGGAATGGGAAAATAAGAATTTCCCTGGATGGGAGTCCTCTGGGGCAGGGAGTGAAAGCCCCGGAGGCAGAAAGGGACGGAGAAGAGGGGCTTGCCCAGAGCATGGATAGGAAAGGAGCTGGGGTTCTCCGGGGCTCAGCGCGCACTGAGAACCTGTGCCCGGGGCTGCAGCTGCGGACGATAAAGGCGCTGTCTGGCTCATGAAGGCCACCTGGATCAGGCTTCTGAAAAGAGCCAAGGGAGGAAGGCTGAAGAATTCTGATATCTGTGTAAGCGCAAGGGCTTTCGTTTGGGGGGAGAGGTTATTTTGTTCTGCTTTTCTGTTGTTGCAGTGAGTGCAGGTAGAGAGGGTGGTTTGATTTGGTTAATCGGATCAAGATTGCAAGAGAGGGAAGCTAGGGAGATTCCTCTCGTTTTTTGAGCTCCTTTCCCTGCGTTATGATTAATTGCCAGATGAGCTATCCCAGGCAGGTGTTTTCTGTAGACGGCTTTTTATGAAATCTAGGTAAAGGTATTTTAAAATGTGTTGCTGGAAGATGGAGTGAAGTTAGCTGCTAGTGTCTTACAGTTTTATCAGAGAAAACAGCAGGTGTATAAAAAGGTAAACAAGGATTCTTCAGATTAAAGTGGGAATCATGTCATGGTAGTGACATTTGGGAGAGTTCAAGTTGATAACTCAGACTTTCTTTCATGGTTTTGTTAGGCTTAATGTCTTTCTAGTTTTAAATACCTGCTTTAGCATGTAGATTGTTCTTGAAGCTATCCTTGAAACCCATCGTTGTCCTTCAGTTCTGCACTGCACCATCAAGCTGTTTAATTATAAAAGCAACTTGTTCTGGCTTCCAGGAAGGGTGGTTTTTTGGAATATAAAGCTTAGGAAGGAATGGCAACTCAGTAGACACAACTATTCTATGGAATGTCTGCAAATCAGAGCATGGTTTTCTAGATAGGTTGCTGCAAAATGAATTATTTTCTCCTCTTTTCAGGAACGTATAGCACAATCCAGGAAGCTAACTGCTGTGTCGATGAGACCTTTCGAATGCAAACATCATAGATTGAATCTACTTTAAAATGTACATTTTCCTTTCCAGGGTTCGGCAGACTCCTACACTAGCCGTCCATCCGATTCCGATGTATCTCTGGAGGAGGACCGGGAAGCAGTGCGCAGAGAAGCGGAGCGGCAGGCCCAGGCACAGTTGGAAAAAGCAAAGGTAAAATCGTTTCCTTCCTGCCAAGATCTTTCTTTGCAAGTTGTGCTGTGCCCCTGATAGACCACCTGTGGAAGTTTCCCCTAAAGCTTGTTTGATCTATTAGAGCATTTCGTTGTCGGGTTTTAGAAAGGTACAAGAAATGGAGCCTAGTTTCTTCCCTTAGTAGAAAAAGGAAGTGTGGTGTAGAAGACTGGTCGTCTATGTTGTTTTATAATCCAAGCAACTCGTTTCTGTGGGTGGATGGCTTATTTGGACACATACAAAAGGATCCCTGAATGTGCAAAGAGGAAAAACGGCACCTAATATCAACACATTTTACTTCATTTCCCCAGTAAACTGTATCTCTGTTAAGAAAAAAAAAACAGACTGACTTCAAGCTATTGTTTATTTTCTTAGACTTGAACAGTTTTTCCCCTGAATTTTACTTCATAGGTGTTTTATATTAGTATCCTCTTACTTTCAAAATCGATTACATTATGCTTTTCAAGGAGCAACAGAGGATTTTATTGATTTTTAGAAGTTTCTTCTCTTAGAACATGTTCTTCTCCAGGATAAAGTGTGTATATATGGAGGGGAGACTGCAAAGCAGCTATGAAATAGATAGTTCCAGGATTTATCTCAGGTCTTGTCTCATTTAACTCATTGCAACGATTTGAATTCTTTTTCCCATGCTGTCCTTGGAATAGTGGCCATTTCTAAGGCATAGATTGTTCGAGTTGAAGGTAGCTTGGTTTTGGGGATACTCAGTCGCTTCCCAGTGAACCTATTTTAACATGGTTGTTGATTTTCCTTTGAAAAACTTGTTTTGAAAAAGGCTAAGTGCCTTGTTGATCGTGCTAGAAATACCAGGATAGCATTTCTGCTGGCTGCTTCATCTCTGAGATGAGTAGAATCTATGTGTGTTGCTATGGGAATTGTGGTTAGGAGATTCTGGTTTGAATGCATGGACAGCCCTTATGTAATACATTATTCATGACCTCTAGCGCGGCTGCCATCGTAGTCTACTGAGGAACTGCCAGGAGACCTTGACTTCTAAAAAGCAGTACTTCTGTATATCAGAATGATGTTCTTACCTCAACTGGCAGGGAAATTTTCTCCAGGACTGACAGTCTTCTCTGAAAGGCAGTTCATAAATAGCAGATGCAGGGAGGGTTTTGTGATGGTGGAAACTGGTAAAACTGGATGTGGCCCAGTTGCCATCAATGAATCTGCTCTACCAATGTTAGCCACTTAGAACATTGTGAAGTTGAAATGAAATAATGAAGAACATTAAATAATGTATGACAGTCGGCACTGTAGTTAATATAGGTTGCAGCTGAGAGTCTGAATTCTATATTCTATATTTTGCATTGTGTGTAAAGAAAAGTAAGAAAAAATTACAATTTGTATTCTGAAAATAAGATTGTTCTATTTGTGGCTAATTTATTCATGTAAGTTTCACATACCAAAATTGAACAGTTTCTCGGGCTCATGTCCCATCATGATACAGCCCAATAGACTGTAGGTTTGGTTCTCAATTGTTATCTAATTGGGGCATTTTTGTTCCTGACTCTGTGGCTACGTCATGAGTTAAATGACACTGCTGCAAAGACCTTTTAAAATATATTTCAACCAAGCATGGATCGAAATGTTGCTCCTAAATCAAACCAGGGTCATGTTACTTGTCCTACTGCCTAAAAAGTTGATAGTTAGGAATGATGTAGAAGACAAAAGAAAATGAAGAGACTTTAAAACAGAGGCAAAATAATTGAAAAACTATTTCCTGTGTTTAATGACAGATAGTTTATTTAATGGGTGAGATGGCAATGGTTAATGGGTGCCAAAAAAAAAAAAAAAGTAGAAAGAATGAATAAAATCTATATGATAGCACAATAGGGTGATTAAAGTCAATAATAACTTAATTGTATATTTTTAAATAAAGAATGTAATTGGACTGTTTGTAGCTCACAGGATAAATGCTTCAGGGGATGGATACCACATTCTCCATGGTATGCTTATTTCATATTGCATGCCTGTATCAAACCATCTCATCTGCCTCATAAATATATACATCTACGTACCCACAAACATTTTTTTAAAATAGTTTATATTTTTTCTTTAAAATTAGGTCAATATCTTAAACCTTTGATGTATTCAAATGACATACACGAGGGTAAGTGAGAATTTAAATGTGTCTGAAAAATACAAAGATGAGGATTGAATTTTCCTTTATATTAAAATCATGGTTTGGTAGGTCTGGTTTATTAATCCCAATATTCTTGAAGAAATAATGCAAAATAGGGATTGTAGAGTGCTAGTTCCCTCTATAAATTTTTACTTTTATCTATAAAAATAGCCTCATTCTTTGCCAAAATATCATTGTGCCTTTATGAAACCTTCAAAATGAAGCCTTAAAGTTTAAAAACGTAACAATTCATGCTATTTAACTTTAAATAGTTAAAAACACTTTGCACAGCCATTTTGGAAGAATCAGACATTTTCTACATTTACTTTGTAACCATCAAAGCATCTCTCAAACAGAAAGACTTTACAAGTCAGTGCTTTTACTCACCTTACAGATCACATGTAATAAATAAGTCTGTGCCGATGACCTTAGCAGTGCTCTCAGACCCTGGTCCTGTATAAATACAAACACATTATCCACTAATTGCCTAGTAATACCTCTGTGAAAGAACTTGATTAGCAAGAAGTGAGACTAGAGATACTTTTAAAATTTAAGTGACCTGCAAAGGTTATATAACGAAGTACTCTGTGCTGTCAATAAACCTAATACTCTCCGCTACCACTTTGTTAAGGCTTTTCTTAATGACTAAACTCTGCAGTGAACAGATTAGATGTTAATTTTGAGGCCAATACATACCAACTGACATGACATTGTTTTTTAACGTGGTGTTTTCTGCTTCCCAATGTGTGTTTTGAAATTGTGCAGTTATGGCATACTTTGCAAATCCTGGTTGTTTCAGTTTGTGCTATCTGATATTACCTTAAAGACAAGTCATATATGAATCTAATTTATTCCCACGTTGATCTTCTCTTTGAAAACAACTTGATTGAGATATAATTCGCCCATTTGAAGTGTATAATTCAATGGTTTTTAGTATGTTCAGAGGTGTTCAACCATCACTATAATCAGTTGTAGACCATTCTCATTGCCCCATACATTCCAAGCCTGTCAGCAGTCACTCTCCTTTTTCCCCAACCACCCCCCATCCCCAGGCCTAGAACCACTATTCAACTTTTGTTTCTACAGATTTGTCTATTGTGGATATTGCATATAAATGGAATCTTACAATAGGTGGTCTTTTGTGAGTGGCAGCTTTTGGACATCTCGGTTGTTTCCACTGTTTAGGTATTGTGCATAATGCTAGTATGAACATTCCTGTATATGTTTTGTGTGTGTGGGCATATGTTTTCATTTCACATATGTATGTACTTTGGAGTGAAATTGCTGGGTCACCTGATCATCTCTTTTTAATTGAAATAATAATTTTCTTCTTTTCTCCTTTAATTCTCAAAAAACGCTGTCTTCTGCCCTATATGCAGAGACTCTGAGTTGGGAAATCTGGATGTAGAAGGAATTGAAGCAGAGATAAGATAGATTCAGCTGGGCATGATGGCTCATGCCTGTAATCCCAGCACTTTGGGAGGCCGAGGCGAGTGGATCACCTGAGGTCAGGAGTTTGAGACCATCTTGGGCAACATGGTGAAACCCCATCTCTACTAAAAATATAAAAATTAGCTGGGTCTGGTGGCACGTGCCTGTAATCCCAGCTACTTGGGAGGCTGAGGCAGTAGAATCACTTGACACTGGGAGGGAGAGGTTGCAGTGAGCTGAGATCTCTTGCTCTCACATGGGCAACAGAGCAAGACTCTGTCAAAAACAAACAAACAAAAAACCAAAAAAAGCAACGATGGACTCAATGTGATCTTCTTAGCCGAATAGAATAACTTTCCATCTTGAGTCCATTGTTCTTTTATCATTGAGTATCTCCTATATTAAAGAAAATGTTAGACCCAGTTGGTGAGTAGAAGGGACTGCAAGGCCAGAGCCACAAAGAAGAAATAGGCAGGTCTTTTGCATGTGAGAAGCTTCCATTGTTTCAGGAGAAAGTCATGATCATAAAAGGTGGAATACAATACATTGTGGGGAAGGGAGGGTTAGAGAGGCCTGTGAGCACCCAGGTTTAGACTGCATCCTACTGGCAGGAACAGAAAATCCTTCTTTGAGGAGGTGGTGGCTTAAAAGTAGACCTCACAGTAGGGGTTCGTGTTCTGTTAGGAACCAGGCTACACAGCAGGAGGTGAACAGCAGCATCCAGAAAGGAAGCTTCATCTATATTTACAGCCACTCCCCACTGCTCACATAACCACCTGAGCTCCACCTCCCGTCAGATCAATGGCAGCATTAGATTCTCACAGGAGTGCAAACCCTTTTGTGAGCTGTGCATGAGAGGGATCGATGTTGCGCACTCCTCATGAGAATCTAATGCCTGACGATCTGTCACTGTTTCCCATTGCCCCCAAATGGGACCATCTAGTTGCAGGAAAACAAGCTCAGGATCCCACGGATTCTACGTGATGATGAGTTGTAGAATTGTTTCATTATATTTTACAATGTAATAATAACAGAAATAAAATGCACAATCAATGTAATGTGCTTAACTCATCCCGAAACCATCCCCAGACCCCAGTCCATGGAAAAACTGTTTTCCCTGGTGCCAAAAAGGTGGAGGAATGCTGCCTTACAGGATGGAGAGTTTGGCTCTTGAAGTACAAAGGGGGATATGAAGAGAGAAATGCCTCCCAGGCCCTGGAATACAATGTATATAACAGTCAGTATAAGTAAAGGCTCCATGGTAAGAAAACATAGAACCTTCCAGAGAAAGGTTAGTTTCTTGAGAAAATGTCTTTACTCTACCTTCATATTTAATTAACAAATTGGCTGGTTATAGTATTCAAGAATGAAAAACATTTTTCTTCAGATTTGTGAAGGTTTACTT